TGCTCTACCAGAGGACCCAAGTCTGGTTTCTAACACCCAGCTTGGGCAGCTCACAACTTCCGGTAACTCCAGCTCCAGGCCCTCTTCTAGCCTCCATGGTCATTGCATTCATGTGCACAAAACCACATAGAGACACTCACATAACACATAATTAAAGGTAATCTTTTTTGATTTTTATTTTTTAAATAGTTATTTATTTATTATGTATACAATATTCTGTCTGTATGCCTGTAGAGGGCGCCAGACCTCTTTACAGATGGTTGTGAGCCACCATGTGGTTGCTGGGAATTGAACTCAGGACCTTTGGAAGAGCACGCAATGCTCTTAACCACTGAGCCATCTCTCCAGCCCTATCTGTATCTTCTATATGTCCTAAAATAATGTATTGCTTTATATGTTTTCCTTGACTTTCGTTTTTAATTTCTAAGCATACAAGCTAACAGGTTTCATTGTGACTTTTTTTCTTTAGACAGGGTTTCTCTATACAGCCCTGGTTATCCTGGAAAGACTGGCCTTGAACTCAGAGATCCAACTGCCTCTACCTCCCAAGCACTGGCATTAAAGGTGTGGGCCACCACTGCCCAGCTCATTGTGACTTTTTTTAGTCATACGTGTCATTGTCCTTTGCTCTGTTCNTTAAAAGAAAAAAAGAAGTGAGTTCGAGGCCAGCCTGGTCTACAGAGTGAGTTCCAGGACAGGCCCCAAAGCTACACAGAGAAACCCTGTCTCGAAAAAACAAACAAACAAACAAACAAACAATAAATAAATGGCAAATACAAAGAAAGAAAGAAAGAAAGAAAGAAAGAAAGGAAGGAAGGAAGAAAGAAAGAGAAAGGGAAAGGAAAGAAAAGAAAAGAAAAGAAAAGAAAAGAAAAGAAAAGAAAAGAAAGGAAAGGAAAAGAAAAGAAAGCAGTTTAGGGGAGAAAGTGTTTCTCTGGCCTCACAGTTCCAGGTTCCAGTCCACCACAGGTGGAAAGTCCCAGAAACAGAAGGTCAGGGGAGCTAATTGGTCACATCAAATCCATAGTCAGAAACAAAGAGTGAAGGGGACATGCAGTGCTCAGTTCACTCTCTCCTGCTCATCCCATCCGTTCTCCCAGGAAAAACTGTCACCCTCATTCAAGGTTTGTCTTCTCACGTCAATCAAACCAATTAAAATCTCATAGGCATGTCCATAGACCAACCTTATCTAGACAAATCCACTTGAGATTCTTTTCCCAGGTGATTGTGTCAAGTTGATGAAACTTCACATTTGTTTAGGAAAGACTGTATCTTGTTTCATTCAGAACTTCACTGAGAATCGTTCGACATTTAAAAATGAAGTAGCTCATCAAGGGCAAGATGGGGTTGCAGAGAACATTGCATTTAATGGGAGTGCTTCAACGAAAACTGGGCTAAGAGATGTTTTTTTTGTAATCCATGCCCATGGTGCAAGAAAAGGAGAAAAAAGCAAACAGTATAAAAGGGCACAGAGTTCAAATTTAATTATTCTCTAGTGTACAGGTTTTCTTCTCCACAGACAACTTGATTATAAAAGGGTGGTTTTAAAAAATCATTTCAGAGTACTGATTTTATGTCTCATTAAAGGGAAAGAAGGGGGCAGAGGAAAGGGCAGAATAGAGGGAGGGAGGGAGGGAGGGGGATAGCAAAGAAAACAACTCCACATAAATGGATATTTGAACACAGAAGAAGCAAGAAAGGATACAGAGAGAGTGAGACAGACAGACACATGCAGACACACATGCAAGCATGTACACAAGCACACACACATGCATGCATGCATGCATGCACACCTCTTAACTGTGCTTCCCTGAGAGCACAGATCAGAGAAGTTCAGCCTCCTATCAAGGCTTCCATCCCATCTGTCTCAGGACAACAGCTCTATACCGCGTTTGCAATTTATTCCACTAGAATGCAACACAATTCCACTAGAATGAAGAATGCAAGAAAACATAGAAGAACAGGGATCAACTAGTGTTGGTCCAAACAGCAAGATAAACAAAGCATCATCTAAGAAGCTACTAGTGAGCGTGAACGCAGCTGAGGGAGGCTTTCTTCAGAGAGAAGAGAAACTGAAAGGTGACGGTTGAAGTGACTGGGGTGACAGGAGGCTCCCTACCAACTGGCATCAGCGGGCCACCCATCTACTTCCGGCCACAACATTTACTTCTACAACTTTTTACTGACTGCCTCTCCTTTTAGTTGTATGTTTGCTTTTAGTATAATATCTCAGTTTCACGTGCTATGCCCTTCCCAAGGCTGGGGCGAGCAAGGATCGTTGAAGAGGTTTTTTTCTTTCTTTTTTTTTTTTTTTTAAAAAAAATAGGTATTAAAAAAGAGCAAGTAAAGTTAGAGTCTACACGTCACAATCTGTTTGCCTAGGATGTGTGAGACCCTGGGCTCCATTCCCAGGACATGATTTAAAAAAAAAAAAAAAAGACTGGTATGTATCACACGGCCAGTGCTTAACAGATGAGCGGGGCTCTAGCTCGGGCCAATTTGAGCACATCTTGTGAGCACACTATCTTGAAAACATAGACGGCGTCAAGTACACACTTTGCTGCTCGTCATTTTTCTGTCCACTGTTAACTGCAGAGAAATGTGCTGTGGAGGTTAAAAGTCCTCATTATCTTTCTGGGCCTATAGCTTCCTAGCCTTAAAATCCTTCCATCTCTGGCTCATCTGAACATCTTATTGGTGCTAAAGACAAAAAGCACCATGAAGAAAAAGAAATAAAAAAAAAAAACAGAATACACAGTTCCAAGAAGGTACATTAGAAATTCCCATACAAGCTGACTTGAAGAAAAAACAAACAAACTGAGCTAAGGATGTAGCTCAATGGTAGAGCACCTGCCTAGTATGTACAAGGTCACAGGTTCAACTCCACAGCACCAAAAGAAACTGGTTTTCTTTTTCAGTTGGCACTGCTCAATCGAGCCAGCTCTCTGTGCAATGTGGTACAGCGGCAGGAGCTGCGGTCCCAGGGTGATGCTTCATGAAAGCTTTGGGGCCCCATCCTGCTTCGGGCAGAACTGGGACCTGAACACACCCTTACCCCCCCCCCCCAGCCCAAATTCAATTCCTGCCGTTTTACCATCCTACATCGTCTGATCTTCAGACTTGTAGAGCTACATTCTGCCACTTCCCACAGCTAGGAAATTCCCTCACCACAAGACACAAGAAGTCACAAGGCAGGACAAATAAGCATTCCCCAGCCGAGAGCAGAGCAAGGCTTCTGCAAGGCAAAGACGTGCTCCCCCTGGAAACCCGGCCGCGCTCAGCTGAACAGATGAGAAAGACACTCGCTGAGGAAAATAAGAAAGCGGCTTGTCGGTACTGCCTCATGACAACACAGAAGGAGGCATCGAAGACATGTTTTGCTGCTAGTCATTTTAATGTTCCATGTATCTGCATAGAAAAAAATACACTTGAGCGGTTAAAATAGACTTCATCTTTCTTAGCCTATAGCTTGCACAACTTGAAATGGTTCCTTTTTTTTTTTAGCAAGTTTCTTTGTCTCTGTGTTGAAAACATTCAAAAATCCTCTTGTTGGTTATTTTGAAATCTACAATATATTATTGTAAATGTTTCAAGTGATGGGTATGCTAATTGCCTTGATTTGATCACTGTACATTGTATCCATGTAACAGGGGCCCGAAGGATTAGAATTTCCCCTGGGAAAATCCATGCTGGGGTGAGGATAAGCCACCAACGGGAGCCCTGGTACCGGAGGATAAGCTGGTTTCTCACGAGAAAAGACTTATCTCTGGCTTCTAGTAACTTGGACTCACTGCTAAATTTATATATGCATTATTCCCAGCCCATTGCTTCATCTTTATAAACTGTAACCCTAACATAGACAAAGCCAAGAGGGATTCAGAATTTCTGTTTGCTCAGTTCTGGCCCTTCGCATCTTTTGGCGCATATGTGTGCAAAGAGAGGAGAGAAGGGGTGGGGAGCAAGGGGGAGAAGGAAGCTTGTATGCGTGGAGGCCAGAGGCTGGCATCCAGTGTCTTCCCCATCTCGGTCCTCATTCTTTTTCAATGCATTGTTTTCAATTTAAAACGAACGTCCCCAGTATTTGGTCTCGTTCGGACATTTTCTCCTGCCTGTCTTCTCCCCCATGGCTCTGGCACCACCACCTTCATTTTTGAGGCAAGTTCTCTCGCTGCAGTGTTACTATGCAAACCTTGTGTGTGGCCCTAAGGAGATGTAGGCCTCCATCGGCCTATGTAGGAACCCTGCTTCTGCCTCGCAGTGGCCACTCAGCCTTAAGCATCTCCACGTCTTAGTTTCCGCTTCTATAAGATAATGTCTTAATCAGAAGCAACCCAGACAGAGATTGGTTACCTGTCCCGGTCAATGTTGATTTAATTCTCGCGGTAACTTCTAGAAAGTGCAAACTCCACAGTACAGGTGAAGCACCTGAGGCACAAAGAAACCCAGTGACCTCCCTACCGTCACACGACGTGACATCTGCAAGGAATCTAAGGCAGGTAGGTTCCAGAGCCTGCGGTCTAACCACACCCACACCCACGGCCTCTGCAAATGAGGCCAGACCTGCTAAAAAGCTGTTTTGAACGCACCACCGAATGTTTGGCAAGTATTGTTATCCAAGGTCTGTCATTTCTGCACGCTGCACAACCTTTTAAAATAAAGAGGTTGATGAAAGAGAAGAAAGTCAGGGGAGGGGAAGATAGAATGTGAAAAAGGAACAGAGAAGCAGCAAGGTAGAGGACGGGTGAATACCTAGGAAACAAGTCTTGCTGGCTTGGACTTCAAAGAACAGGGGGAACTGTTCCAGACAGAAATGGAAGCCCTAGTCTTGCCAGTAGCATTGCAAAAACACGCTGACTGGGCATGCCTCAGATACCTGAGAAAGTCGCCTTCGATCCCACCCTAACCCGGAGGCGCAGCTCGGGCGTGGGCCCAGCTTCCCTAGTTCATCTCAAGAGTCCGCCCCACGCCGGGCGGGGCCTGGCCGGACCACTCTACCGGTGGTGGCCCGCGAGCCCCGGACACCAGCCACGAGGTGGCCCGCGCGGGGCTGGGTCCCGATGGCTACGTGGAGGCGGGATGGCCGGCTAACCGGCAGCCAGCGGCTGCTGTGTGCAGGGCTGGCGGGAGCGTTCAGCCTCAGCCTCACGGCGCCCCTGGAGCTCGCCACCGTGCTGGCCCAGGTTGGCGTGGCGCGAGGCCACTCCCAGGGACTGTGGGCCACTGGACGCCGAGTGTGGCTAGCCGAGGGGCCGAGGGCCCTGTGGAAGGGGAATGGCGTGGCGTGCCTGCGCCTCTTCCCTTGCAGCATGGTGCAGCTGGCTGCCTACCGAAAGTAAGAGTCCGGAGGGCGGGGTCGGGAGGTCTGACTGGGGAGGCAGAGCTGCCACCCTGATGTACCAGCACTGGGAATCCGAAAAGGCCCCCAGCCTCCCTTCCTTCCAGATAATGGGGGGCGGGGGCGATGTGCCTTGGCGTCTTGGGGCCACAAGGCTGTATGTGTGGCCCCTAAAGCACAGTACTAGTTTTCACATGCTTTGGAGATTCCTGCCTTGCGAGCTGCAGTTTTGTGAAATCTTTAGTCTTTTCTGGGGGGAACAAGAGGAGGAGGTCGAATTGGCAAATGATATCTGGAGGTTAAGAAACGAAAAAGCTTCCCAAAGAAGTGAGTTCTGACCATTACCAATGTCCAGTAAATTGGAAATATTTGCTTTCGCTGGCTTAGGAGAGAATGCTCCAGAAGGTGTGTCTGAGCCCAGTGTACCAAGGAGTAAGTGCTCAGGACAGGAAGAGGGACCAGGACGATTCCTGCCCATCCCCAGCTCCAGCTGCAGCCTATCTTGGCTTTAGGATCTTAGGGGGACTGCAGTTTCTTCTTCCCCAGCAGGGACCCGTCTCCTCAGCCTACCGTTTACCCCACCCCCAGCCACTCACTGATCTCCTCCTGTGGACTTTTCTCACCTCCTCCCACGTCAAGCACTGTTACCTAGGGAAAGATCTAGAGATGCAAATGATGGGTCCGTGTGGAGTGACCTTAACAGCTCAACAGATTTGCATGGGAGCTGGGAAGGAAGCCTAAAAGAAGAAAGCAGCGCTTGGTGGCAACTCTAGAGGAGGGGCTACTTCTCTGTTGGGGAAGACAGTCCCTGGGTTCCTCATTAGGGAGGCAAGGTGCCAGCTCTAAAGACTGGCCTTGGCTCTGAATTAAACAAACAGCCTACAAGCTGGTTAAGCTACTTTTTGTTTTGTTTCCAGTGCTAGAGGTGAAAGCCCAGGCCTTGGAGCAGGCAAGTGAGGTGTCCTGCCACTGTGTTCCCAGCCCTAAGAACTACTCAGTCACCACACGCCACCTTTCTTTCCGCATTCACTCCTCATTAGTTAGGACGCAGAATAACACACATGATCCTGGCGATGCTGCAAGGATGAAAGCAGTGTGGTCCCCATCTCAGTTTACAAGGTAGTTTTAAAAAGACTGGCATATCTCAGTCCACAGTCAACACGATGAATTTAGTGGCTATAAATTGCCAGTGGATCAGGAGCGATAGGTGATGAACACTTCAGGTGAGAAGATGGGACTGCTTCACAAAGGAGAACAAGCTGTCTGAGTTTGGCCTTGGGAAAATGAGTAGGAGGCTCCTGGGCAAAAAAGGAGGCGTGGCAGGTAATGGCAACACAGGCCAGGAAAAGGAAAGGCATGCAGTATAACCGGCTGGAAAAGCGGCTTGGAATGAGATCTTGAAAATCAGACTTGGTATGAGATGGTGGCTGTGGGAAATGCTTGTGCAGGGTCGGGGCAACGCTGTGATTAGATTCAAGGAGAATGAGTGTCTCCTAGTGGCACGGTAGGGTGGACAAGGAGAAAGGCAGTGAGTGGTGTTATGGTTTTCTGTCTCTTTAAGAGACAAGCCACGCCCACTCCCTCCCCCATCCGCTGAGGCAGGCTGATCTTTAGCTTCCTGCCTGAGCTCTCTCTCTTTTCCTTCTTCCTCTCCGAGAGGCCGCTTCGCTTCTGCCTCTCTCCCCACTTCTCTGTTATCCCCCTTCTCTCTTTCTTCTCTCTCTCTCTCTCTCTCTCTCTCTCTCTCTCTCTCTCTCTCTCTCTCTCTCTCTCTCTCTCTCTCTGTCCCCCCTTCACCCTTTCCCCTTCACAACCCCCTGAATAAACATTCAACTTCACTCTGCAATCTGTCTATCCCTGTCTCTGTCTTCTGCCCACCCACCATGTGTCTCCCTGCCTGGGACCAGCCACCGCTCTGGCTCCCAGAGCCCGCTGCCTGCCCCCACATGGCCCGCCACCACCATTTGGGACCTACAGCAGTTCTGCTGCCTACTACCGCCGGGGATCTTGAAGCATTTTTTTTTTTAAATTATAAAAGGTGGTAGTAGCAGCTAGGCGCCTGTCACAGCATGCAGCAGCCCAGAGTATCTGCAATGGGTTGGTGACAGAAGAGATGGAGGAGAAGGGCAGAGACTTACATAGACTAGGTGTGCTGAGATTATTTTCTGACAGACTATTTTCTTTCTGAAAGCTGAAAAGAAGCATTCTCATGAGTGACAGGGTATAGTTAGAAAGGTTGATCAGCCGTGAAGTCATCCTTCCTCCAGAAAGATGGTAGGCATGGCTTATCATCATACCAATTCATTTGCACTCTCTCCTGACCATGAATTTGCAAAACAGGTAGCAGGGACTAATGGTACACAGTCTGATCACGGCTCGGAACAGAACATCCAGCATACTCAGTGAATGGAATGGCTGGAAAAATCTCCACAATTGCAGAGACAGAGCTAGAATTTGAAACTTGAAAACGTCCTCTGGCTCCTGAGTCCAGGGTTCTGTCCACGACTACACAGCTAAAATATCTGCTTAGTTGGACTGACGATGAAAAGAGATTACTGGTTAGAGTGGTGGGTGCTATGTTTCTGTCACATGCAAATGATAGCGGATACAAGGGGTGGCTTTCAAATGCATCAAAAAGAAGGTCCTCCTCCAACTTTATTGCACAACTGCTCGTTTGTCTGACTATTGGTTTGGGGCCCTGCAGCTGTGACTTGTTCAGAGCACCCCCATTTCCTTATTTCCTTATTTCATAACCAATCAGGAGCTTGTGTTAGCATTGTAAGTACCGATCGCATACATCTGGAGTGTGCGTCGAATTTGCACTAGCTGAAAGGAAGGGGTTCCTGCAGATCACCAGGGCCTTCAGTCTCAGTCTCACTGAGAAAAAAAAAGCTTGTATGTACATGAGGAAGAGCAAAACCAGAACACTGCCTCCCCAGCCAGTCAGAGTTTTAAGCTATAGGGACCACAGTGATGCCAGTGGTAGCCTAACAGGGTTATCTGCATTGACTATTTTTTTAATGTCTATGAGTGTCTGCCTACATGTACATATGTGCACTGTGTGCGTGCCTAGTACCAAAAGAGGTCAGAATAGAGCACCAGATCCCCTGGACCTGGAGTTACAGATGCTTGTGAACTGCCACGTAGGACCAGACTGCCACGTGCAGACCAAACCCCGGCTCTCTGCAGGAGCAGCCAGTGCTCTCAACCACTGCATCACCTCTCCAGCTCCTTGACTTTACTCTTCTAAGGGAAGATTAGAGGTGAAGAGGCATAGAAGAAAGAACTCCCTTTAGTTCTTCTCTTTCATTTTCTACATTCGATAGTTAAGAGTACTTCATACAACAAACCATCATAAGAAGATAGGCTTTCTCTTCCTAGTCCAAGTACTTGAGTAAGCCAAGGGCCTGTTTCCCTCTAGATGCTTCTGTCAGTTATTTCCTTGTCAGGACTGGTGAGCTCTCCTATGTGATCTATGCCCAGTATCTGGTGCATTATGGCTGACCAACAAATGGGCAATAAATTGGCCTGAATCCTCGAATGGCTGAATGGGATAGGGAATAAGAATGGGACAACAAGAAAGAATGCTGCTGCGTTTTGTATTCTAAACTCCAAGCAGGTTTTTTTTTTCCCAGCTTGCCGCACACAATCATTTCTATTTTGTGTGTATGCTGTCCTTCCAACTTGACTGGCCAGGGCAAAGAAACAGCATGCCGGCATTAACACAGAGGCAGGCCAGTGGCTCACTGGTGAATGCCAGCTTTAATTGTCTGTATATCATTTTTCCCTCAGTGCTGGGAGCACAGCCAGGGCGCCAATTGAGATGCACCAATAACCCCTTGAAGGAGATGTTGCCAATGAACTTCAGATGGCTCCACCTGAATGCCCACTCATTATTCCTCAGGCCAGCTGTCATCTGAACAACAGGAAACCTCCCCCTCCACTGGAAGTTGGAGAGCCAATGACCTGGGAATGAAAGTATTATTTTAGCCCAGCTCTGTTCGCTTACTTTTATCCCAAACTCTTGGTACCCTCCTTGTACCATTCTATGGCAAAAGTCCTCTTTCTGCTAGTTTCCCAGCCTCAGCACGAAGGAATTAACTTGCTTTTCTGTAGCCTGGAAGGGTGTGCTGTGTAGAAGTACCCTTATAAAATTTCTTCTGGGAGAGGCACTCAGGACTGAGAATGCCCTGCCCCCCAAAAAAGGCTTATAACAGGGTAGTGTATGGTCTGCATTTAGAAAAGTCCATGCAAAGTAATTTTAACTGAATTGTAAAACTACTGAGAGACACAAAGAATAGTTTGTCAAACACTCATACCATCCACGCTTTCCATACAATTTTTAGACAGAGTCTCTCTTTGTATTTTAAATTGACCTTTAACTTGTTCTGTAATCCAGACTAGCCTCAAACTCAAGATTCTCCTGTCTTACTCTCCTAAGTGCTGGGATCAAAGCCCATGCCACCAAGCCCAAAATGTCTTTGTTGATGTAGAGAAAGGGGGGGGAGGGTTAGCTTTTGTTTCTGGTTTTTTTTTTTTTTTTTTTTTTTTTTTTTTTTTTTTTTTTTTTTTTTTTTTTTTTTTTTTGCAACGCCGGGGCATCAAACCCAGGACTTTGAGTGTGCTAAATAATCATACTACCACTGAACCCCATCCTCAGCCCCCTTGTTTCATTTTTGAGTTCAAGTCTTGGCCAAGCAGCCTCAAAATACTGGGCTCAAGTGCTTCTTCTGCCACAGCCTCCCACGAAACCATGACTACAGGCATGTATGCCAAGCCCTGCCACCCATGTATCTCTCTTAAATATAATAAAGCCTGGGTGAAGGTAGCATCATCTTCCTTTTCATTCTTGGTCCTAGTCCATTTTCCCTTTCCCAGGGGAAGCTTTTATACTTCCTCCTAAGTACCTGTTTACCTTAAACAATCCTTATGGGTTTATTGTTTGAGGTTGTCATATCTATAGCTTGTTTTGCCCATTCATCATCATGTTTTTACGGCTTATTTCTTGTGCTTCTGTCTAAGCTCATTCATTTTAACCAGATGGGATCCATTGAATGACAATGCCTTCACTTTTTCCATTCCCCTACATTTTGACATTAAATTGTTGGAGCTTTTCATTTTTCTAAGAACTGTTTGTAGTGTGTCTTCATGTGTAGATCTCTAAAGAGTGTTCCTCTAGACTATGAACTGCGAAATGGAGTTACAGGGTTAAAAAACTTGTTTCTCCAAATTTACTAGACACTGCAAAGTGACCCTACTGGTTTTATGGTCCTTCCTTCCAGCAAAGGGCGAGGGAGTCAGTTGCCATCCATTCTCTCTCCATCATTCGATATGATGCCAGCCTGCTGGATGAGATGTGGGTATCCCGTCACTGTTTGTATTTGTTACTTTTCTGATAACTAGTAAAACAGCAGCTCCACTTCTAATCTCCATTATAAAGGAAAACTCATTCTTTATACTAAGTTTAGCAGAGCTTATTCGAGCCATACCAAAGCAAACCAAACCAAACATAAGTCTCCAATCAGATACCTCCCAGAACCGAGGAGTTTCCAAGAAGTCCAACCCACCACATGACCGTAAGACAGATTTGGGTGGGGGGGGAGCAAGGTTTTGAGAACAACTTAATTGGTGGCAACCTCGCCATCCAATCAGCCAGTGTCGTAGGTTAGCTAGTTAATCATTACAGCCTAATCAGCTAGCTGGATGTAGGGCCTTCTGCAGAAAGCCAAAGCCCTATGGCTATGATTAAAGTTGATACTGGCTTGGACTGTTGAGCTCAGAACTCAGTTTCTGGGATGCTGGACTTGGCATGTAGCTCAGTAACAGAAGTGTGTACCTAATGCATAGAAGACTTTAGGTTCCATTCCCAGTGCTGGAAGAGAGTGAAATTTCTGGATTTTGCAGTTATTTCAGGAAATTCCATTCCCTTTCAGTTTCAAGAGCATGGAAAGATTGCATTCCAGAGAGGTAATCTTTCTGTGCCTTTACAGCCCACCAGCAAGTTAGATGGTTGTATAGATAAAAGGGGAAAATGCCGGACATGACGTGGGAAGAGTTTGGGGAAGCTATAGAGCAGAGGTTGGACAGCTCTTGCTTATAGCTAGTTAGCGTTATGTGAGGACAGGGAGACTTAAACTTACTACCCAGTAATCCCAGTATAATTCTATGATATTTTTGACACTGTAAAGCACTTCCAAATGCTAGGAAGTATTTGAAGTGGTGGAAAGCTTGCCACCATAGTCCAGCGCTCAGGTCTTGAGCTTTCTCTGTTTTCCGCAGGTTTGTTGTGTTGTTCATGGACGACCTAGGCCGTATTTCCCAGTGGAGCTCCATCGTGGCCGGCAGTCTCGCGGGCATGGTCTCCATGATTGTCACCTACCCTACGGACCTCATCAAAACCCGGTTGATTGTGCAGAACATGCTGGAGCCATCTTACAGGGGGCTCAGCCATGCTTTTTCTACTATTTATCACCAAGAAGGGTTTCTGGCCCTTTATCGAGGGGTATCCCTCACTGTTTTAGGTAAGGTGGAACTTGACGCTTCTTGACACAGGTGAAGGTATTATATACCTTCGTGAATGCTTAAATCGATTTTAGAGGCCTCCAGTGACCCAGAAAAGCCTGGCTTCAAAGCCACCCTCAAAAATGCCCAGCTGACATGAGTCTTCGGTGTGGAAATCTACGAGCAGGCACAACAGGATCTCGGTGCTCTCTACAGCCAGACAGAGCTACACACACAGAGGCCTCTGTTGTCAAATCCAAAAGGATTTAGTCCATCATTAGATGAGTATTAGATGAGGTTTAGTCACTCTGTCCTCTGGAGACTTGGCTTCTAGGGTGCCACTGTCTCCTGGGTATCGTCACACCTCTCTGGCAGCTCTCTCTTATACAATATACCTGGCTCATTTGGGTCACTCCCCTCAAATTTATTTTTACCCTCTATATGGGCTTTCTTTTTGTTGATCTTTATGTTTATTTGTTTGTTAGAGAAAAGGTCACACTCTGTAGCCCTGGCTGACCTGAAACTTGCTAGGTAGACCAGGCTAGACTAAAACTTGCAGTGATCCTCGTACCTCTGTCTCCTGAATACTAAGATTACAAGCACATACCACCATGCCCAAGCCGGGCGATGGTGGCACACACCTTTAATCCCAGCACTCGGGAGGCAGAGGCAGGTGGATCTCTCTGAGTTCGAGACCAGCCTGGTTTACAGAGCTAGTTCCAGGATAGGCTCCAAAGCCACAGAGAAACCCTGTCTCGAGAAACCAAAAAAAAAAAAAAAAAACACTATGCCCAGCTTTCTACATTGGCCTTCTTACCCTGAATCCCCTCTCTAGATGACTCTGTCCTAAGCCAGTAGCTTCAATAAGCACGAATATATTTTGACTCCTAATATCTTTAATAACAATGCTAACATTTTTAGGAGTGCTCACTGGGCACTAAGTACATTTCTAGAAGTTTTTTATTACAATTTCTTATTCAAATTTTTTTATCTTTATTCTTAGCTTTTAGTATAATATTTTATTAAGTCTGAGAATTTCATATAATGTATTTGATCATATCCCCCACTCCGCCCCTAACTCCCTCAAGATCCATTCCCTCATTTCCCTACCCCCTTTTCAATTTCATGACTTCTTTGCTAATAACCTACCCAGTCCAATCCATGCTGCCCATATTTATATGGATATAGGGTTATCCACAGGATCATATAGCAGGACCACACTCTTGAAGACTCTCCCACCCCCACAAAAGTTCTTTTTTTTTTTTTTGAGACAGGGTTTCTCTAGCTCTTGTAAACCAGGCTGGTTTCGAACTCACAGAGATCCGCCTGCCTCTGCCTCCCGAGTGCTGGGATTAAAGGTGTGCGCCACCACCGCCTTATTGTTTATTAACCCCATGTATATATCCAGATCTTATGCAGAGGTATGTGGTCAGAAATGTGGTTCCCCACCAAATCCAGAAGAGGACATTAGATGCGTGTTCTCACATGGGTGCCGAGAAACAAACTCATGTTCTCTGCAAGAACATAGCACACTAACTGCTGAGGCGTCTCTCCAGCCCTCTTATGTCTAATTGATATATACTTGTACACGCTTATGGGCTGTCGTTTGATATTTTGATACATGCATATATTCAATAGAGATCAAGTCAGAGCAGTTAGCATATCCATCACCTCAAACCTTTATCGCTTCTTTGCTGTGAGGTCTCCCGTTCTCCTATCGAGACTCTCTTTTCTAGCCACTCTGAAATGTACAATACGTTGTCACTAACTATAGTCAGCATGCTGAGCAATAGATCACCACAATTTATTCTTCAGCACTGACATATCATTGTTTGTTTCAGTTTTCTTTCTGAGACAAGGTCACATTAAGTAACCCAGACTGGCCTGGAACTTGCTGTGTAGTCCAGGCTACCTTTTAACTCTTGATCCTCCTGCCTTAGCTTCCGAGTGCTAGAATTACAGGTGTGCGCCACCTTCCCAGGGCTGTCTAACTTTCTGCCTGTTGAACAACCTCTTAGACGTCATTTTAAATATGAGGAAGTAGGTGCTTAGCTACGTAACTGGCTCAAGGTAGCACAGGCAGTGGGATGGCGTGATTATGTGATTCTGGGGCCCTCTCCCTTAGCTACTGACTTAGATCAGTTCCTAATGGAACATACCTCTGTTGAACATGATGACCTCCATATTCCAGAGGTGCAAAATCTGATGTCCTCATTAGTCTCAAACTTACTCTTCTTTATGCATCCCCTAGTTAACAAGACTGCCTTCCTTCCTCCCAGTGGCCCAAGCTCGATGAAACTCGGGTATCACCTTGGTTCCTCCTCTCCCTGTTTCCCCTTTAGTCATCAAGCCTTGTCACTTTGACTTCTTTTAATGCACAAGCCTGGGCCCTCTTCCACCTTAGCTCACGCCTCCGTCATCTTTCCTGCTGACTCTAGAGAGTCGCACTCTCCTGAAGACTCGTGTTGCTATCTCTGGCCCTCTGCCCAGTGCGCCCTGTGTACTGCTGCCAGCCTGGGATGATCTTTCCTAATGCTCTGTCCTCGTTCCACTGCAATCCTTAAAAGCTAAGAGGGAGCGCCAGCATTTCTGGGGCACTCCAGATCCTCCAGAGCTGGCCTCTGATAGTCGGCCCTCCAATGCTGTCCTGTAGCGTGCCTCCATCTGCTCTCCTGTTCAGGTCATGCAGAAAGAGTGTGCTTCCTAGAGGTACACACTCATAGTACTTGATACCAAGTGCCTTTCTTTCTACTCTCGGTGTCTGATGAAACTGTTCTTTGTCCTTTGTTCACGACCGTATACACAGCCTGTGCCCGGACTGCCTTTCCACTCTCTCAGTGCCTAGTGGACCTACTCTTTGCTCACAACCCACTTCAAAAGTTCTCTCTTCTAACCCAAGTGTGGTGATACATGCCTATAATGCAATCCCAGGACTCTAGAGGTTACAGCCGGAGAATCAGGAGTTCCGGGCTAATCTTGGCTACACAGTGTTCCTATCTCAAACAACTATAGACATGCCAGGTCTGCAATCCCCCGCTTAGCTTCAGGATGTGGAGGCGGAAGTGAAAGTTCAAGGCCCACTTGGGCTACACCATTCAAATAAAGCCCAGGCAATTTACTGAGACCTGTGTCAAAGAGTTAGAAAGGTGGTGGTGGCTAGAGCGGGGTCGCGACTCTATGTTCAATCCTTAACATAACACAGAGAGATAGAGAGAATTCTCTTTTCTCTCATACTTTCCTGGTTCTTCTGGGCAAAATCAATCACTCTGATACTTGTGTGCATAAAGCATCTTGTACAGCTCACTACATGTACATATCGGGGATGGCATATGAAGTGTTCCTAGCTATGTCCTGCACTTAATGGTAAATATCTATAGAAATTAGCTTGCTCTGAGCTGTGGTCCCAGCGCTTGACATAGGGCCCAACACACAGCAAAAGATCTCTCGATTCCTATTTTTGAGAGGAGGTCTAATGTCATGTCGGCTGGGCTTGAGCTCACTACGTAGGCAAGGCTGGCCTTGAACTCCAGATCGTCTTGCCTCAGCCGCTCTAGTGTTGGGGTTACAGACATGTGCTACCACTTCTAGCTTCCCTAAACGTTTTTGAAAATAGAAAGTTGGTGAGTCTTTTCAAATATATTTTGTTTATTAAATAGTACCTTTGCCTAAAGATAAGTGATGTCGCACCTGTATTCTGCCTCCCATTTTCGCAGTGCTAGGGACGGAAGCTAGAGCTTTGTGAGCACCCTGCCGCGGAGTCATACCCCAGCCGTATCCCATCTTGTAGATCTCTTTGTGCACTTCCACTTTTTACTTTATGTGTAGGGGTGTTTTGCCTGCATGCATGTCTGTGCGCGGTACCCATGGAGGTCAGAAAAAGGTGTCAGATACACAGAAACTGGAGTTACAAATAGTCCCAAGCCACAGTGTGGATTCTGGGAATTGAACCTGGGTCCTCTGGAAGAATGGCCAGTGCTCTGAACCACTGAGCCATCTCTCTATCTCACTTTTGAGGGACAAATTAGTTCATCTGTTAACCAAAGATGGTTCGGAAAGTTCCTGGAAATTTGTGAGAATACCAAATAGTATGTCCTCTGATTCGCCATCTTAGTTACTAGGAAGGTGAGGGTACCACTATGTATGATGCTAACTGGGCCCTAAGACATCTCAGCAAGGTCAGGTAACCTCCATGGCCACCATTATTACAGAATGCTTCCTTCTGCACTAGGGAGCAGTCCCTTTCTAGGCCCCCAAACTGGATCAAGTACTGCCTACTAACTTTTTTCTTTTTCGAGACAGGGTTTCTCTGTGTAACATCCCTAGTTGTAGCTCTTGTAGACCAGGCTGGCCTGGAACTCACAGAGATCTGTCTGCTTCTGCCTCCCCAGTGCTAGGATTAAAGGTGTGCGCCACCACTGCCCAGCCTAGTATCTTCTTTAATGGAAGTGATTTTTTAAAGATTTTATTTTCTTTTTAAGTGTGTGTGTGTGTGTGTGTGTGTGTGTGTGTGTGTGCAGGTGTGTGCACATGAGTGCAAGTGCCTGTGGAGGCTAGAGGATGGTGTCAAATTCCCTGGAGCTGAAGTTACAGGTGGTTGGAAGCCACCTGATGTAGGTGCCCCTCTGCAAGAACAGTAGGTGTTCTTATTTTATGAGCCATCTCTTCAGTGCTATGGAAATGACTCCTTGCAATGTTTCTTTTCATTCTTTTCTCCTTTTTGTATTTCAAAAACACAGTAGAGCCCTAAAAATTGTAAATAACTATATACTCACTGAAGACCCCAGTTGATTATTTTTTTTAACTTTGTCACATGTCTATGCATCCCTCAGAGCCATTCACCAGTCCATCTTTTTCTTTGGTGACTTTTTTGTCTGATTTTTGAGACTCAGTTTCACTGTGGGTGGCCTTGGCTGTCCTGGAACTCACTCTGTGCAGCAGGCTGGCCTTGAACTCAGAGTTCTACCTACCTCTGCCTCCCGAATACTAGGATTAAAAGTGTGCACTGCCACTGCCACTGCCACCACCTGACTTCTTTGGCGATTTTAATGTAAGTTACAGCATCCGTATCACATACCCAAGTCCAGCATCTAGTTGGGTTTTGTTTTCTCTTCTGCCTGAAGCAGTGTCTCATGCAATCAAGTAGCCCAAGCTGGCAATAAACATTGCTATGTAGGTAAGAATGAACTTGAACTACTGATCCTCCTGCCTCCACATCCTAGGTACTGGGATTATAGGTGTGTGTCACCACACAGAGCTCTCAAGATTGGCTTATAGTTCTTTTATGTACAGTGTATTGACGGTAAACTGCACCAACCTTGAGTGGACCGGTTCAGGCTTTTGGTGACCATATGGTGTGGTCACCGCACCCCCAGAACATGCCCTGTTGCTCCTTAACTGGCAGGGCTTTAAACAGCCCCAGACCCCTGCTATTCCCGTCATACAGCCCTCAGGCATTCCTTTGCTCCAGACAGTGGTTCCCCAGACAGCAACCTCTCCCTCATGCTTGATTCCAGGTGCTGTTCCCTTCTCTGCTGGTTCCCTTCTAGTCTACATGAACCTGGAGAAAATCTGGAATGGACCCCGGGACCGCTTCTCTCACCTGCAGAACTTTGCCAATGTCTGCGTGGCTGCTGCTGTGAGCCAGACGCTTTCCTTCCCCTTTGACACCGTGAAGAGAAAGATGCAGGTGCGGAGCACTGGGAGGGAGGGGGCTTGAAGCATTTGCACTTATGTAGCCACAAAAAATGCTCAATTCCACCCACCCCCTCCTGCCCAACAGCCCCACCACTGATGCCATGTTTCTAAAGAGCTCAGGGCTGCGCATGCAAATCTATGTAGTCTCTAACACTTCTGCTAACCTCAGGGCGACTAGGTGTCTTCTGGAAAGCTTCCAGATGAGTCTCCCTTTTCTTTCCTGGCCCCCAAATACATTACTTACTTGCCTGCAACCCCAGAAAAGGAGGACACTGCAGAATGCAACCTGCTAACTTGCCCTCCTGATGTTACCATGAGGAGAGTGTAGCATTCTTTCTTCTCATCGTGCCTTCTCTCAGTAAAACCTACTGGCTAGGACTAAAATAAACCAAGAACCATAAAACAGCAAGGGACAGCAGAAAGAAACTGCATTTCAAACGGGTGCTATCTTGGGCACTGTCCTTACAATTCCCCAGGGAACGTGATCACGATAGGGCACACAGGCAAAAGAAAACAGTAAAGAATACAAACTGAAGAACCAGCTTAGCCTAAATTGTTATCAGCAAAACCAAACCTGATCAGTGATGTAACACTAAGCAAGACTGGCGGGTTTGTCCCTTCCCCTGACCCTGCTCGCTCCGTCGGCTAGTCTGCTTCCTTAGCCTCTTTTGATAATCTGTGTGTCCCTGAAGCTCTGGGTGAAAAAGAACTTGGGGTCATTTGCATTTGCAACTTGGAAATGAGTAGTCCCACTAGTCGGTTCCTGTTGGCTTCTCCTTGTGATTCTGACTTGGCCCTCGGGTTTTTCAACGCTCCTCCCCACTTCCTGTTTCCCGGCTACAGTATCCTTTGACCAGTCTGGTCAGTGCCCAAAACCCTGAAGGTACTTCACTTCCTAACGCTGTCTTCAGACATGATGACACTCCACTCTGTCCCTCGGATCCATAAACCATCTCATGTGCCTGGGCTGCCTTTCTCCTGTCCTTGGCCAGATGGACCACTGCCACATTGGTGTGACTGCAAGTACACAATGAAGTCTCCTTAGTGCTACTTAAAACGCACAGAACGTCTGTTTTCAATAATAATGCACATACTGAAACATGGTTAAAATGCGGTGATCTCACATTATGTATATTTGGCCATAATAAAAAAGGACTGTACATGTTGCAGAAATTTTAGGAAATAAAGTAGGAAAATAATATATTAGTTTTAGGCCAACACCCATAGATTATAAGTTACTAGTTCTTCTTCTATATATGTTCATAGATTGGCATATACAATTTTTTAGGAAATGGTTTTTAGGCCATACATAAAAGTTAGTAGCTCGCTTTTTTTCACTTATCATGTAGCAGATACAGCTACAGTCATTAACTGTTTAATTATCAAGTGTTAGTTCACCATAGAAATGTGTTGGAAATAGTTCAAATTTCTCAGGTTTATTTATTTATTTTTTCTTTTGTTTTTTCGAGACAGGGTTTCTCTGTGTATCTTTGGCTGTACTAGAACTCACTTTGTAGACCAGGCTGGCCTCAAATTCAGAGATTCATCTGCCACTGCTTCCCAGGTACTGGGATTAAAGGTGTGTACCACCATGCCCGGCGAATGTCTCAGTTTTTAAATAATGAGGCTATTACTAATTCTTAAGTATAACAACACTGTAATGAATCTTTGTGTTTTTCACGTTATATTCCTAGAGATTGACTTATAGGTCACAAACCCTGAGTAAGTCTAAAGCATCCTATTTTTAGGTATTGAGGAGTGAACCCAAGGACATGTGTGAGTTAGGCAGGCATTCTCTTACTACTGAGCTACATCATCTGCCCTGAAATGTTTTGTGTGTGCCAAAATCTCCCTAAGTTACCAGGGCGGGCCTTGATCTTCTCATGTAACCCAGGAAAGGCTTCAAACTACTTGAGCTTCCTGTCCCAGCCTCCAGGGTGCAGGCTACTGGGATTTTAAACATGAGCTCTATACACACACACACACACACACACACACACACACACACACACACGGGGGGGGGGGCTCTCGTTTTTTTGTTTGTTTTATTTTAAGACGGTGTCTCTCCTGTCCTGGCTGTCCTATAAGACCAGGCTGGCCTTGAACTTACAGATGATCCGACTGCCTCTGCCTCCTGAGTGCTGGGATTAAAGGCATGTGCCACTAAGCCCAGGCTCTTAATGAAATTTACACTCCAAATAGAGTCTTTGATCCGCAGCAGCAGCCAGAGTGTGGTCCAGCTCCTATCACTCCCATCAACTGTCATTTCTCAGGCCATGAATCCAATAGTTGAAAATGTGCTTACATTGCTTTAATTCTAATTCATTGTTTATAAGTGGGGCTCCACAGTTTTCAGTGCTGCCCCTTGCATTTCTTTATCATTTTTATTTGCCCCTTGCCAGTTTTGGGGGGATGTCTAGATTTTCCTATTGATTGGGAACAGGTCTTTACATATTAAAGGTATTATTAACCTTTGTCATACATGGCACATTCTCTTCCATATCATATCTTCTAACATTTAGATTAATGCTGCTTATGCGGTTTTTTTGTTTTGGTTTGGTTTGGTTTG